TGTTTGTCAGAGGCTGGAGAGGGATGGCAGGAGACAAATTGCTTGATCATTGTCTTCGGTCCACCCCTTCTGGGGCACCTGGTGCTGGCCACTGTCAGCAGACAGGCCACTGGGCTAGATGGACCTTTGGTCTGACCGAGTACGGCCGTTCTTATGTTCTTAACCCTGATTTCCAACTTAACTCAGACTCAAACCAACTCCCCCCAGGATCAAGCTTGGGGCCCAGGGTCAGTGTGATTTGGATGGAGATGGATAGAGAGGGGGAGTTAGGCTTGAGATTGAGTTCAAACCCTGTGCTTATATTGCAGTATAGTCATACCCACATTGCGCATAGAGACCATGGCAGCTGAATTCTGCTTTAACTTATCCTGGCTGTCAGAAACAAACTCTGAGCCCCGTAACCTGGGGAGTGAAAGCCGTTTGTAGCCCAGGCTCTGTAAGGGGACAGGAATGAAGCCAGGGGGCTTGTAGCTCTGAAATGTCTCAGGATGGATCTCTGTAGCCATCCCTTGCCTAGGCCACTCCCCTCTCCTTTCCTCTTTATTTTCTGACAGATGCAGGTGTTGCAAAGCTTCACTTGTATCCCGTTTTATATGAGAAGTGCAAGAGGTCATGATACTCTTTTTGGTATTTAAGGCTTTCTGTCATATGCAGGGAAAATCTTATATTCAGATCCTAATATTAGTTTAAAAAAAATCTGTGGGAAGGCTTCCCTAAGAGAGTGATTGCCAACCTCCAGAATATCAGACAGATACCACACCACAAATCAGAGGAATATATTTGCTGTAAGAAGATAAAGTTCTGACATTTTTTGTTTGTTTTGCCTGTCTTCTAGCTGTGCTTAACTCTGGGGAAAAGGGAGAGTTTCAGATTCCCCATTACACATTACAGGCTGCAGCCTCTTAGTTTTAACTTAAACTGACCCTGATTTCTGCTGTTTCACTATTCCACCTTGAGATTCTTGGTTATATCATTGCAATAAAATAATGCTCTTTTATAATATTTTCCTCAGTAAATTACTATATTATTGATTTTTCCTGGCTGCAGCATCGATGCATATGTTCCAAAGAACTACCCAAACCAGAGCCATTTCAAGATGTTAATTGTGAGCAAATTAACAGTGCATTAATATAGCTTCCTTGAATTTAATATTTTATACACACCTGTCAGGACATATGAAAAAATATATTTTTGCAAAGTTGCAAATTTGAGAGCAACAAGTCACACTGGACTTTTCCCATGTCTATTGTAGATTTATAGAACTTAGTACACACTTGAGTGTGGTGTGTTTGAATGATGAAGACTAGCTAATATGTGCTCTTGTATTAAGTATCAGAGGGGTAGCCGTGTTAGTCTGAATCTTCAAAAGCGACAAAGAGCCCTGTGGCACCTTGTAGACTAACAGATTGATCGAAGCATAAGCTTTCATGGGCAAAGACCCACTTCATCAGATGTAGATGAAGTGGGTCTTTGCCCACGGAAGCTTAAGTTCCAATCAGTCTGTTAGTCTATAAGGTGCCACAGGACTCAGCGTTGCTCTTGTATTAACACAGTTTTATAGGTTACAATATATTTAATAAGTTTGCTACATTACTTATATACTGAATATTTTTTCTTTAGCTTACACAGTTTGAACCAGCTGAGGAAATTAAACTTTTATATCAGTTTGGAAGCTATCTGGATTACATAGAAACGCCCAAAAAAGGTCATAGCAAAGTGAAAGGCAAATCCAAAAAGCATGGAAGGGAATGGAAGACACGGGAAACTGAAAAGAAAAATAAGCCTGATCTCTGCAATGGAAAGGGAAATGTGCATTTATGTGAAGAAAACACTGCTAATGATGTTAGTCTTAAAAAGAATAAACATACTACAGCAAAAAGTCATTTGGAATCAACAAAAAGAGATTTTTGCAAGAAGCAAAACTCTATTATCCCTTGGCCTTTTGTTGAAAAAAAAGCAAAGAAAATAAAGCGTCTTCAGGATAAAGTAGTAGTTGATGGTAATGAAGAGAACTCTAGAGAGGTAAATCACAAACAATATTATAAAAATTCTAGAACAGTGCAGAAGAGTAATACTCAGGGCAAACAAAAATGTCTCTGCCTTCCTTCATCACATAATTCTTTTGCAACTGAGAATGGTAAACATAATGAATTAAGTTGTAGAAACAGTTCATGGTCTCAGATGGCTTGCAACAGTGAAGGTCTTGATTCTACTGTGCACTATTTTAGTGGTGGAATCATAGCAGGTTTTAAAAAGCGTAGGAAATTGGATAAGGAAGTCCCTGTTGGCTGTTTTCTAGGCACCAACACTACTGAAATAAACAGCTGCACTAGTAGCACAGAGCCTCTTTTGTCATCTAGTCCAGCAGCTCTGGAGATTAAAACTTATGACTCAGAAGATGAATTCAATGTGGAAACCCTGAGGGATAAGGCAGCTTCTCATATGAACTCAAAAACTGAAGCAATATGCAGCAGCGTTGATCTTAGTCAAGAGCTTTTTATAACTCAGAAGTCTTTTTTACCAGTGCAGATTCCCAATAATGGCAATACCTACTTATCCCTTTACAGTCAAAGCCATGCTAAAGATGCCAGTGTAGAAAGAAGTTTTAAACAAAGAAACTCTACAGATACTTTGGAACTTTGTCAGATGTCTTTGAACAGAGAAACATGTGATGAATGCAGTGAATTTTCTCAATGCGGTTTGACACCAAGTAGGGGTAGAAAGTCATCAACGAGAGAGTGTGCAATTCAGACAGAAGACTTTTTCAGCTCTCCAGCACTTGCTTCCTCTTTAATAATAAAAGAGAGATTTACAAATTGCCATGAACAACCACTGGACCTCAGTTTGCCTTACCGAATTAGATCAAGTGTTGAGAATGCAGGAAGATTGTCCTTCAAGGGTGCAGGTGATGGTGTTTATGTATCTTCCAAACACACATTAGAGCCTGTGTGTCATATAGAAAATGATCCTGCTGGTCCAGTGTTTGAGGAGGAAAGGGAAAATCATGTGTTCGCCCAATCTCAAAAATCAGATGAGGTGAAATACATTCAGATGCTACTTAATTCATCCTATTTCTTTAAAGTGAAAGGTGATTCAGATAATATAGTTTCTGGAACACAGTTAGTGAAGCCAAAGTTAGGAAACAAAAAAAAAAGAATAGCTGTAGAAAGAACAAGACAGGAGAAATTCTAGCTGAGAAGGGTATTAGTGCTACATAGGTGAATAAATAAATAGTGTCTGTATAGACACATTCATTATATTTTCTCAAAATGATTTTTCATTTAAAAAACTGCTTTATTCATTATTTCAGAACAGTATAGACATATTCATTATATTTTCTCAAAATGATTTTTCATTTAAAAACTGCTTTATTCAATGATAGTAGGCTGAAGGGAAAGGAATATACTTCAAATTATAGCGATAAAGTTTTAATTTATTCAGTTCAGCATTCACACTGGGCCTTTCCTCACAATATGACCATGTCTAGACTACATCCCTCTTTCAAAAGTGGGATGTAAATTAGACAGATCGAAATTGCAAATGAGGCCAGGATTTAAATTTCCCATGCTTCAATTGCATAATGGCGGCCGCGCATTCTTTAGTAAAAGGGCTTTTCGAAAGTAAAACCGCCATCTAGACAGGGTTTTTTCAGAAAAAAAACCCCAAAACCTTTTTTGAAGGATCACGTACTCCTGAGGAGAAAGAACCCCATCTAGATGGTGGTTTTACTTTCGAAAAGCCCTTTTTCAAAAGAATGCGTGGCTGCCTTTATGCAAATGAAGCATGGGAAATTTAAATCCCGACTTCATTTGCAATTTCTATATGTCTAATTACATCCCTCTTTCTAAAGAGGGATGTAATCTAGACATGTCCTATCTTACATATATACCATCTGTGCTCTTTTATCTATTTTCACCTTTGATATGTGAAGCTACACTCATGTAGCTTTAACTTTAGACCAAGTAATCCTGAGTATTACATATGTTGTGAGAACTTCCCATAAAATGTTTAAAGTGAATAGTTTAATAAGATCCTCAGATGAAACATATGCTACTGAGTTACTCTGTTGTTCTATGTTAGGGTTAGCTATAGTTTCAGTTAATTTTTGTAATTCAAAAGAAAGTTGTTTTATTTTCCCAAAATTTATACTGCATAATTCAACTAAATAGGGAAGGTATTTAATCAGATATTACAAGAAAAAATATTAATGACTCAGCATTTTCACAGCTCTGCAAAAATGTCACAACTCAGTATTTTAATGAGTCAACAAAAAGCCATGGTCCTGAATTTTCAGGACTCAGCAAAAAACATTGCTCAGCACAAACATTTCACTCTTTGCAGTTTCATGACTCAGCAAATAAATTCCTGACTTTGGGTTAAGGTGAGAGTGAGGGGTTAGGGTTAGGTAATCTTTTTGTTGTTGTTGTTTGTTTCCCTTTTCTAAAAATAAATGAAAAGATTGGAACTATCTAGAAATGTGCAAATTACTGGTTGTTCTGGGTTACCTCAATCAAATGCAGAACCGTTCAGATTTTTTTGGTGTCTGCTTGACTCCAGATTTGGTGTTTACAGATAAACCTGCAGGCTTGAGAGCATGAGAAATAAACATTGTTTTAATAATTAAAACATATGTAATAGTCCTCCAGATAACAGAGGTGTTAGGAAAAATTGTTCAGTGTGTTAATTCTTCATACTTACTTGGTAGATTTTATATTTTTACCTTATTCATACGTATGCTATAATAGTTAAATATAAAATTGTATAGTATTTTGAAATTAAATATTGTCTTTCATTAAAACAGCTATTCTTTATTGTGACTGTAGAAGATTATATTTTTGAAGGTTTTAAAAAAAGCATGCTAAATTTTAAAATTCAGAATTTATATACAGGAAACATTCTCCACTGTCCTTTACCCCAGAACCTGACCCATTTGATGTGTCTTTACAAACATTATTTAATATTTGTAGATAAAGTGTTGAAATACTATAGAGAGTTTCCTGAAAAAATGAGTACAGGATCTTTCGAAAAAGGATTTTATTTTTGATTGATCCCCATCTAAACAGCCGTTTTACTTTAGAAAAGCCCCGCTTTGAAAAAAAACATGGCTGCCATTGTGCAAATGAAGCATGGGAAATTTAAATCCTGGCTTCATTTGCAATTTCGAAGTGTCTAATTTACATCCCTTTTCTCGAAAAGGGGATGTAGTTTAGACACAGCCTAAGAGTGAGTTTGAGTGTAACATGTGGGATCAGATCAGTAACAACAGAGAGGGATATAGTTTCACATCGTTATTGCTGCAACTTAACACAGTTTTCTCAAGATCATTCCAATTCTAGTGTACTGCCCGCACGTATAGACAAGGTTGGAACCAATCCTGTAACCAGGCCATGCTATAAACCCCCATTGACTGCAAACTGTCTCCTTGTAGCCTCCAATGAGGCGGCTTACACTATTCCTGTGAATTGCAGGTGCATTTTCCTATATAGATTTTATTATTAATTGTTAGCTCTCAAGCAAATTAAAGGTATTGAATATCAACTAAAAATGGAGTGTTTGTTAGGTGTCGAAATAAGGGGCCTCCAGGAAATCCTATGACGTGCCCTGATGGCCATTCTGCCCACACTCCTGAGGACTCTATAGTTCTTCTTCGAGGATGTCCTGATGGCCATTCTGCCCACACTCCTCAGGACTCTATAGTTCTTCTTCAAAGATGTCTCCCGGGTGCTCCACTATGGGTACTGGGCTTGCCCCGGCACTGCAGCCGAAGCTTGTGAGAAGCAGTGTTCGGCCGGACCACGCATGTGCCACGGGGCTCGTGGCTTTCATGCTCTTTTCTCTGGCACGCGGTCTGGCCTCCCGCCAGTTCCTCTAGACTGCCTCAGGCTGCAGATGCTTGGAACCGCGCTCCTCAACACACTTGGTGAACTAGACTTCCTCTAGTTGCCCCTTGTATATATTTCTACCCTTCATTTCCCTCTTATTCTCCTCATTTCTTAAAAAAAACCAAAAAAAACGAAAGGAAGAAGAGAGACTTATAACACTGCTTTATCTTCCGCAGCTCAGCTGTTCTCTCATCCCACTCCTTGTACATAGTTGCGTCCCTTAAAAAAAAAAAGAAAGAGAAGAAAACAGAAACTAACATAATAATAAGACAAATACAGATATAAGAATGAACAGCAACCAGAGAGTTAGATGTTCTCTCTGTGACTACACACAAGAACTGCCTCAGAGCAACCGGTAACATGTCAGTAGCTACCGGCTTAAAAAAATGCGGCTCTTGCCGGGAGGCAATGCCGGCCTCTGAAATGCGGCTCTTGCTGGGAGGCAATGCTGGCCTCCGATGGTATCCGTTGGCTGGGGGAATCTCACGTCCCCTGGAAATGTGCCCACTGCAGCAAACTCACTTCCAGGGCTAGAAAGAGGGAGAGGCGCCTCCGAATGCTCCTCTTTGATAAAGCCCTGCAGCTGCAATACACTGATGACGAGGAATAGCCCCCCAAATGACGGGCTTCATCCCCCACTACGGGGCTGTGTCTAGACTGGCAAGTTTTTCTGCAAAAGCAGGTGCTTTTGCGGAAAAACTTGCCAGCTATCTACCCTCGCCGCCTGTATT